AGTCTCTTTAACAAACAATGCTGGCATAACTGGATATCCATCTGCAAAAAACTGAAACAAGACCCATACCTCACACCATGCACAAAAACTAAAAACGGATCAAAGATTTAAATATAAAATCAAAAACAATAAAAATCATGGAAGAAAAAATAGGGACAATGCTAGGAGCCCTAATACATGGCATAAACAAAATACGAACCATAAGTAACAATGCACAAACACCAGAAGACAGACTAGATAAATGGGAGGTCCTAAAAATCAAACACTTATGCCTACCAAAAGACTTCATCAAAAGAGTCAAAAGACAACCTACAGACTGGGAAAAAATTCTTGGCTACAACAAATCCGATCAGTGTCTAATCTCTAAAATCTACAAGATATTGCAAAACCGCAACAACAAAAAGGCAAATAACCCAATTAAAAAATGGGCAAAGGATACGAACAAGCACTTCACCAAAGAAGATATTCAGGCAGCTAACAGACACATGAAGAAATGCTCACGATCATTAGCCATTAGAGAAATGCAGATCAAAACTACAAGATATCACCTCACCCCAACAAGGCCAGCATTAATCCAAAAAACACAAAACAATAAAGCTGGAGAGGTTGTGGAGAGACTGGAACACTTACACACTGTTGGTGGGAATGTAAAATGGTATAACCACTTTGGAAATTGATTTGGCGCTTCCTTAAAAGGCTAGAAATAGAATACCATACAATCCAGCTATCTCGCTCCTTGGAATATATCCTAGAGAAATAAGATTCGTTACAGGAATAGATATATGCACACCCATGTTCACTGCAGCACTGTTCACAACAGCAAAAAGATGGAAACAACCTAGGTGCCCATCAACGGACGAACGGATAAACAAATTATGGCATATCCACACAACGGAATACTACACAATGATAAAGAACAACGATGAAGCTGTGAAACATCTTACAACATGGAGGAAGCTGGAGGTCATTATCCTGAGTGAATTTAGTCAGTCACAGAAGGACAATTATTGTATAAGACCACTATTATAAGAACTCAAGAAAAGGTTTAAACACAGAAGAAAACATTCTTTGATGGTTACGAGAGTGGGGAGGGACAGTAAGGGTTATTTACTAACTAGATAGTAGATAAGAATTATCTTAGGTGAAGGGAAGGATAGCGCACACTACAGGGGAAGTCAGTGCAACTGGACTAAACCAAAGCTAAGAAATTTCCTGAATACAATCAAACACTTTGAGGGACAGAGTAGCATGGGTAAGGGTCTGGGGACCATGCTTTCAGGGGACATCTAGGTCAATTGGCATAACAAAGCTTATTAAGAAAATGTTCTGCATCCTACTTTGGTGAATGGCGTCTGGGGTCTTAAAAGCTTGCAAGCAGCCATCTAAGATGCATCAACTGGTCCCAGCCACCTGGAGTAAAGGAGAAGGAAGAACACCAAAGACACAAGGAAAGTATTAGCCCAAGAGACAGAAAGGGCCACATAAACCAGAGACTGCATCAGCCTGAGACCAGAAGAACTAGATGGAGCCTGGCTACCACCAATGACCGCCCTGACAGGGAACACAACAGACAGTCCCGGATGGAGCAGGGGAAAGGTGGGGTGCAGAACCCAAATTTTAGTAAGAAGACCAGACTTAATTGTCTGACTATGACTAGAGGAACCCCCGAAAGCATGGCCCCTGGATTCTCTATCAGCCCAGAACTAAAACAACTTCCAAGGCCAACTCTTCAGACAGTGATTGGACTGGACTGTGGGACATAAAGTGATACTTGTGAGGACTGTGCTTCTTAGCTCAAGTAGATACAAGAGACTAAACGGGCAGCTTCTGTTCAGAGGTGAGATGGGAACGCAGAGAGGGTTAGGCACCGGTTTAATGGACATGGGGAACGAGGGGTGGAAAGGAGGAGTGTGCTGTCACAGTATGGGGAGAGCAATTAGAGTCATATAACAACGTATGTGTAAATTTTTATATGGGAAAAAAGAAAATAAAAAAATACATACAGACACACAAACTCATCAATCTCACAAATATTTATGCAGAAACCCTAAATAAAACATCAGTATCCAAATCATATAAGATACTAAAAATATGCCATAATCTGTTAAGATTTATTCCAGCAAAGCAAGGATTGTGGACTACAGGAACTCCATTAATCTCATTCATCATAAGTAATAGTTTTATTAGAAAGAACTGGTGATCACCTCCTTAATCACGTATTCAAACTTGGAACCACTAAGCTATAGCCCTCTTGATGGCCTCAGCATAATCTATGAAGTATATTCTTACCAAGAATGTTTAATATGAATCTGATCAAGCCTTTAGACCTAACTTCCAGTTCACAGGAAATACACAAGATAAATGAGTGAAGTAAACAACTCCATGAGGAAGCAATACAAACAAAACCAGAAATGTGCTGCATACAAGACAACTGGCCTGGTCTCTTCAATAAATCAACGTGTCATGGAGAAAAAAGTTGGGAGACTATCCTAGATTAAAAGCAGGGCTTCGAACTACTACTAAATGGTCCAGATATGGCCAACAGAAACAAGGTAGGGCTCAGAACCAGTCCAAAGTGGTTCAGTCATGGTCGGCTGAAGGAAATCAGGGCAGCGTTCACTGCACAGCAACCAAATCTCTTGCTGATAGGCTTATGACCTGAGTAGGAAACAGCGGTGCCCCACTCAAAGATAGCGGCCAAATGCACCACTTTGAATGTGTCTCTCTCCACAGTCCTGCCAATGATCCAATCTCCCGCATTAGGCTCCTGAAAGTTTCCTGATATGGGAGACTGGATTATTGGCAGGACTGTGGAGAGAAACACACAACTGAAGCCACACAGTCGGGTGTCATCTTTGTGTGGGGTACTACTGTCTGTTTCCTACTCGGGTCAAAAGCTGAAGCTGCCTGTTTCCTACTTGAATCACAAGCTGAACGAACAGATGTGCTTGCTATGCAACGCATATGCTGCCCTAGTTTCCTTTGGCCATGACTGAACCGCTTCTAACCGGTTCTAAGCCCTGTCTTGTTTCCCTCAGCCAAGACTGAACCATTTAGAACTAGTTCAAAGCCCTGAAAAAGAGAATAAGGAAATATAACAAAATACATAAACTCTGACTATATTCTGCTTCAAGAATGCAGCTATAAAATCTATCTTAGGACAATATGGACTGGATGGTATCGGAATTATTTGTGATAATGGTGTTGTAGATATATAGAATATCCTTGCTTTAGGAGATGCATGCTGAAGTATTTAGGGTAAAATGTCATGATGTCTACAACTTACTTCCACATGGTATAGACACACATACAACCATATATACATACACATACAGGTAAAGTGAAAATGGCAAAACGTTAACAACTGCTGGCTGCAGATCGTAGTTATCAGGTGTTCAACATTTTCTACTGAAAATTAGGAAGACAACATCAAAAATGATATCTTATTGTCCTAGTATTAAAAATAAGTAAATAGTAGCATACTTGATTTAAAACATCTTTAAAGTTTCATATATGAGTAATATATATTTTGAAAATATTAGTATATTTTCAAAACCAATATTCACATTTTGAAACTGATCAGTAAAAGTTACAATAACCAGAGTAACTCTTTCATTACTTATGAACAAAATACAGCAACAGTAATACTTAACACGTACATAACAGTTACTATGTGGTAGGCACTGTTCTAAGCATTTTTATATATATTAGCTCATTTAATTCTTTGAACAATTCTATAAGTAGTATTATTATATCTCCATTTTTCAGGTAAGGAATAAGCCATATAGTAAATGGCAGAGCTAAGATCCTAAGCCAGACAGCACAGCTCCTTCTACAGTTCTCTAGATACAGTTCTCCTCAGGTGGGATAATCTACTGATTTGATTATGCTGGGGTTATAATATCCATCAGTTCTTTGAGTTTAGTAATTCTAATAATCCAAAAGTATCATCATAGAATCAAGGAGCCACAAAAATTCAGATACTATTACCTTTATAACAGTGCATTAAGTCTGGCTTCAGATGAATTAAGTGAATATTTGGTTATCGGATAAGATTTATCCATACTCTTAGTAGGGGTTAAATGACTATAATAAATATCTTCATAAACTGAAAGATTCTAATACATGATTCCATTTTGATTCTCTGGGTTAAAGATGGAATCAAAGCAGTTCTCAGCAACAAAAATAATTATTCATGGGATGGCAAATTTTCTCTTATGCAAAAGCTTGAACTTCAACTGTCTACCTGAGTAGTTTGCGGTATTTTATAGACATCTTATTAATTCACATGGAACATTTTCAGGCAGAGTACAATCAAAATATTTTTTTGAAATGAGAAGATGCTTTAAAAGTAAAAATGAATTTAACAGAAGTCACTCAATTTAGCCTGAAGCAAAGTACAGACTTAGGTGATAATAGAAAACTACTGTTAATTTCCTTAGGTGTGATAATGGTATTATGATTATGGGGAAGATGAGTTGGAATCAACTTGATGGCAACGAGTTTTTTTGTTTGTTTTGTTTTTTTAAGTTTCAGTTAGGCACATCAGAGACAGAACTCTCTAAATTTTTAGTAAACAGACACTAATGGATATTATTGCTCTATAATGTCAATATTTGTATTTTCTATAGGCTTAAAAAACCAAAAACCAAACCTGTTGCCATTGAGTCAATTCCAACTCATAGCGACCCTACAGGACAGAGGAGAAACTGTCCCACAGGGTTTCCAAGCAGCAGCTTGTGGATTCAAACTGCCAACCTTTTGGTTAGCGGCTGTACCTCTTAACCACTGCACCACCAGGGCTCCTCTATAGGCTTAATAAATAAAAGTCATATTAGTATAAAATTAAATTTTCAATCAAATATTTGCAAGACTGAAAAATATACCTGTAAATATTTCTCACCCCTGGTCTATAATAATCAATAAGCAAAAATAATTTCTAGTTGGGGTAGCAGACAGTAACCTAGTTCTATTAAATATGTAGACATATAAAATTTTACCTGCTTTTTCTTTCAATTAGAATGGCCACATAAGACGCTGGCAAAGCAGCACCAAAGCCAGGGCTCCATAAGTAGAATTTTCCAAGTATCTTCCTGAAATTCAAATTTGGAATGTTCATATGAAAATCCTAGTTGGTCATTTCAGTTATTACAAATAGAAGTTCCCCTTCTCAATCCACCTTCTAGCTAAAAGTCCCACAATACCTCAAATTCAACATGTCTAAAACCAAACTCATTATTTCTCTCCCCCATCCCCATAAATTTGTTCTTGCTCCTCTATTTTCCTAGGTTAATGGCATTAACAACTACCTCTATACCTATGTTTGACACTTAGACTCATTCTCAGTTTCTCCTTCTCCCTTACCCCATATATCAAATCATTCCCTCAAGTTATTCCATATGCAATCTAATCTCTCAAATTCTTCTCCAATCTAGTCCCTGCCTTAGTTAAGTCCCTCAGCATCTCTCACTCAGGCTACTACAACAGCAAACTAACTGGTATCTCTCCTTCCAGTAATTTAGCCAATCATGTTCATTCAGACATTCCCTAGATCCCTTGCTCACTATGCAAACCCTCTGTGTTCTTAATTTCCTTATCTATCAATTGGGAACAATAATATACTGTCTCGCATGCTTGTTATGAGGACTATATGAGTTATTTCCCAGCACCATGCGTGGCACATAGTAAACACCCAGAAAATGTAGGCTGTTATTACAATTGTTATTACTATTACTATCATTACTAATTTGTAACACATGACAGACATTCAACATATGTTTCTTTCTCCTTTGTTTCTATAACACTTGGTAATTTTTTTATAGTGCTTATTTTAAAGTATTTTATATTTTTAATTATATGAGTATAACTCTTTTTCATTTACTAAATATGTTCCTAGAAGGTAGGAGTTGGCATAGTGCCTCACACATTATGGCCATTAGCTGCTTGATTTTTAAAAAAAGAAAAAAAAAATTAGACATGTTAGGGAGATTTTTTTTTTCCTTTGAAAGATAGTATGTTCTTAAGAAAGGGAGAAGCAACATGTAAATATTGTAAGAAATTCTCTGAACAAACTTGGTCAATTGCTAAATGAGGTTTTATAGGAAGAAAACTATATATATATGTATATACACACATACAGATAAGGATCAAGAGTCACAGATGAAAAATTTTAAATTTATGCCCAGCTTAAAAAGGATTAGAAAAGCTATTGAGGAAACATAATGTGGATATTTCTGAAATAATTATCAAAAATCTTCTGCCTAAGAAGATCAATATAAAATCTACAAAGAACTTAAGTTATTAAATGTAAAAACTAAGGGAAAAAAGGAGTCAATCAGTTACAGGAGGAACATGATGTTACCTAAATTGTAAATATTTTATGTTTCAACAACTTAACCAAATAGGCCCATAGAACATAAGGAAATACGCTGTTAATAGCAAGGTATATCATTAATGCAATTTTTTTAAACTTAAATGTTACAACTTTTAGAGTTTCAACAAGTTTTAAAAACTTTCCAGAGACCACATGATAAAGAAAGTTTGTTACACAGATTTTCATCTCAATTTAGAGGTATGATTTTCTCCATAGCATAAAAAATCTTATCAATTATTCTCTGCAAAATTTAAAAGTTTATAAATATTAATGCTCTGAAGAAAAAAAAATTATAAAAGACATTTTGGAAATTGTGTTTTAACTGCAGATAAAATATACCTGCAAAACTACTTCGGGCAACACTGAGTAACACTAATATGAGGATAGAAGTGAAGATCAAAAACTTATGAACAATCACTATTATCACGTTACTGTGAGTCTGAATATATTATTTAACTTGTTTGTTTCCCCCAGCTTACTATTTCAAATAATTGAACAGCTGCTATATAAAATTTTAATAATATAAAGTTAATATTTTAACTTGACAGATAAAAAGACATTACTTTGGGTTTTCAACAATCAGTGGGGAAAAAGATAAAAAGAAGGAAATATCTAATTAACATGTTAATCACATCACCGCACTCAAAACAGTAGACTCTAATTGCATCTACTACTATTAATTGTATGAAGCATGTGGCACAGGTAATGTATATAAGACTGAATCAGGACCAAAAGGTTCAACAGTAGGGTATACCAGGAGTTACAGTTTTAAATGGAGACCTGGCGGCGTAGTGGTTAAGAGTTTGGCTGCTAACCAAAAGGTCGGCAGTTCAAATCCACCGGCCACTCCTTGGAAATCCTACGGGGCAGTTCTACTCTGCCCTATACGGTTGCTATGAGTCAGATTCAACTCGATGGCAACAGGTTTGTTTCTTTTTTTTTGGTGGCATAGTGGTTAAGAGCTACGGCTGTTAACCAAAAGGTTGGCAGTTTAAATCCACCAGCCATTCCTTGGAAACCCTATGGGGCAGTTCTACTCTATCCGATATGTACATTTTATAATCCTTTTGAAGTATGTTAACTGCATATGGAGCTAACCTATATCATGGTCAGTTGCTTTAATTTCCTAATCTATGAAACTGAAAAGTTAAGAAATACTGATGACCAAATTGCTAACTACAGTAGGCCTAAGAAAATATATGATACATTAAAATACTCCTGCTATCTAAACATACCAACAATCTGAAGTTTATACTGCACCGTGCCTTTGGGTCAAGAGACTCACAGCTCCTGGTTTTACATGCTTTCTTTGATATAAATGTCATTTCACAGAGATTAAAAAAAAAAAAAAAAACAGGCAGTGACCTGGGCAATATTTATGTAAACATCTCTGTTTCAGTTTCAATAAAGGAATTTTTATCAACCTTCAATGGTGATGATGAGTACCAACCTTAAAATGCAAAAGAAAGCCATATACAAGGCCCCATTAGTAGTCAAAAATGAAGCAGACTGTAGGATCTCAGGAAGTAGTTTGTGTAAATAATAGTCTAATTTTCGTTTCCGGAGAATTGCTGCAATCTGAAAAGAAAAAGGCTATTTTGTTTAATCCAACCAAATTTTCCCACTTAAATTAGCTCCTACATGGAGCGATTGAGTAACAGCATACATTTAAATACTAAAGTAAAAACTCTGATATTTTACTGGCTCCTCTGTAAAAATGCATTTTCCAGAACAAAAATAAATACATTTGAATTCACTGAAGGTATAATGGGTAAAACATACAACAAGAAAGCACCACAAGGATCATATGGTGAGTTACCTTCAAATATTTAGATAAAATATTTGTAATGCTTTAAAAACAGTTTTAAACTGAAAAAAATGAAATGTATTTTTAAATGGAAAAAGTAAATCACAATTCAAATAAAAAATTGGATGCTATAAAAAAACTATATAATAGATTCCATTATCAGCCTAAATATTAGAGACTCTCAGTGACAGAAACCAGAGAAATTTATTCAGTTATTCAAACACGCCTACAGTGTGACACAAACCATGCCACGAATACTAACAGTAAAAATTAAAATTAATGATTTTCGATCTCCGAGAGCCCATGAAAAAAAGATCTGAAAAACAATTTTTGAAACTATTTGGAGTTTTTCGTGAATTTTGAATTTAAAAGAAAGGTTTCTAGATTAAAACAAACAAACAAAAAAAATCCCTGCTATAATTTAGTAATTATATTTAGAAATCAAGACATGAAATCTAAGTATTTATTAAGCACACTATTAATACAATAGGAAATACAAAAGAATATAAATCATAATAGGTTCAAGATACACATACAGACATTGAAGAATGATTAAGTGTTAGTAAGGTGATATAAAGTGCCATGGAAGTTTAGCAAAGGGTGAGTTTAATATAGGGTTGGGCAGAAGTTTCATGGAGAAGGGAATATGAAAGGGATTTGAAAGAATAGTAGGATTCTTACAAATCACAGACAAACAATACTTGTCCATCATGAAGACACAGTACATAAAAGTCAGAGCAACATGATTAGGGAATGCAGAAGGGACAGAGCCCTGGTGGTTGAGAACTATGGCTGCAAACCAAAAGATGGAAAGTTTGAATCCACCAGCCGCTCCATGGAACCCTATGGGACAGTTCTGTTCCATATGGTTGCTATGAGTCAGAGTCAACTCAACAGCAACGGGTTTGGTTTTTGGTTTTCGGGAAGAGATGAGAATGGCAAAACTGATGACAGAAGGAAAACTATAGAGCACTCTCCATTCATTTCCCACCATCCTAGATCTAGATAACATTTTTCCTGAAGTTGGTGATCAAAAAATCTAATAATCACCTCCTCTCAGTTCTTAATCTTATTCCACCTCCTTGAAGTTTCTGAAAATGATCATCACCTACTTCAATTCAATAAAAAAAACTGTTATCAAGCTTTATGCCAAACACAAGAAAAAAAACAATGATGAGTAAGACCTGCTCCCTGCCTTCAAGGAACATAAAATCTTTATAGGGAAACAGACGCATACACAACAAACTAAAATATGGCAGTGTGGTAAATGCAAAAAAGCTTTTGTGGCATAGTGGTTAAGCACTCGGCTGCTAAGCAAAAGGTCAGTGGTTGGAACCCACTAGATGTGGCTATCTGCTTCCATAAAGATTTACAGCCTTGAGTGAAATAAGTCAATCACAAAAGGACAAATATTTTATGCAACCTCTACTGTAAAAACCCATGAAAAAGTTTACACACAAAAAAGTAACAATCTTTGTTGGTTACGAGTGATGGGCGTGGTGGTGGGGAAATACTAAAAAGGCAACAGACAAGCGGTATCTTTGGTGAAGGGTGAGACAGTACACTATACTGGGGAAACCAGCACATCTTGTACAAGGAAAGGTCATGGAAGCTCCATAGACACATCCAAACTCCCTGAGGGACTGAATTGCTGGGCAGAGAGCTGTGGGGACCATGGTCTCAGGGAACATCTAGCTCAACTGGCGTAACACAGCTTATAAAGACAATGTTCTACATTCTACCTTGGTGAGTAATGTCTGGGGTCTTAAAAGCCTGTGAGCAGCCGTCCAAGATACTCCACTGGTCTCACCCCTTCGGGAGCAAGGGAGAATGAAGAGAACAGGATACAAGGAAAAGATTAGTCCAAAGGACTAATGGACCACAGCTAC